TAGTTTTTAAAATGTATATAATATTCACATATCATACACTTACATAATTAAATAGCTTTTAAAAACAGTTGTGTATGTATGTATATATAGACATATGTATCATCATAAGGAATTCTTATGTTCCCTCCCCTTCCCAGATTCATAGTTTGCTCCTCAACCTCCTTACTCCTTGCCTCCCCACATGCCCCATAATCCATTGCATCAGTTATTGTCTGTACGCACATACTCCTTCTGTGCTTTACAAACCTGGAATCAAGAGAAACAATAAAAAACAAAATAAAACAGCAGCAATAATAATAAAATAAGAAAATACCACCCTCAACATTTTTAAGTCCAGAGAAAAAATTTCTGTCTTAGAACAAGTGAGAAATATTTGATCTTAGAGAAAATTCAGGTTGGGTCAAGAGGTAGATCAAGTATTATGCCATGGTCCGATGCACCATGATCAAGTTTAAAATCATCTCTGTCTTATGATAAAGCTTGTCAAGGTGATCTGCCAGAGGCTTAATATGACTAGATATTCTTCAGATGGATTTGGATTTCCTACTGTCCACCTCGCCTTCAACAAATTGGATACTCACAATTTAAGCTCTGAATCTTTTCCCTTCTTCATATTTGAATTTTGTTGCCACCATCTTTGGATCACACAGGTTGATGTGCTTCTTCAGTGTTGACTTACTTGACACCTCACTTAGACGGGTGCTTGTTTGAAGACAAGACTTTAAGATCCCAGGTAATTGATAGCCTGGCACCATTTTCTTTCTTCACCACACTTTGCTCTAATGCCCTTATCTTCAGTGATCTCTCATGAAGGCGAGGATTGTGCAGAGCCATGTTATAAGATCCTGTACTCAGAATATGATCACCTAGAGAACGGATCTAGCTAAATCTTGTCAGAAACCATGGGCACTTCTATCTAGTACCTGGAAAGTGACCGGTGAGACTCCACAACCCCCGAGGCTTAGAACGCTTTTAAATTAGATTTCCCTCTTATTTCTAGGTGTGATAATGCAGGTAGAGCTGCCAAAGGCAGTCATGGCTTGGGAACGCTTTCTCACAGTGTTGTATCTAATCTTCATGTCTGCAGAGATCACGTTTCTAGATCTATCAGGCTGTGGGAGATGAAACCTGTATTACGTGGCCAAAAAGCGCCTAGTGATGACAGCCATAGGGTCAACCCAGTCTTCACATATCAATGCACTGCACCATCATAGCTCAACCAGCTGAGTGTGTTTTAACTGAACCATCTGAAACCTGAGGACCCAGGTATGTATTATGTAGGGAAAGTACCAGGAGACAGAGTGACAGGGAAGTGGTCAAACATCTCAAGTGTCAGGAGACTAAGCGGGCAGCAGAGGGAGCTCAGGGCACATGGGCGAGTTTTTGCGACAGGAGCATGTGCACTGGATGATGAGTTTTCGTCTCCTCCCGTGTCTAGAGTTTCCCAAGCTACCCAAGTCAAGAACCTCTCCAGGGACCCCTCAGCATCTACAGTTCTCACGTCACTTATTTTCCTGTAGGGAAGATCCTGACAATGAAAAGACCTGGTTCTTCCTGAGAAGACAGGGGAGAAAAAAAACAAACTTGGGATAAGTTGAAGTCCAATCTCAGAGAGACCAATGGTCTCTCCATGCCATTAAATTCTGATCTCCGTGTGATTCTTTCAACACAATCAGTTTCTCTCCGTCCTTATTCTTTTTTCACCAAATGAAAGTAAGTTGAAACTGTATGTGTGTGCACCCCAGCCCAAATATATCCAGTGAAGAGAAAAACAAACAAAACGTTTTTTTTTTTAACATTCCTGATATAATTGAGAGTTGTATACTATTTTTAAATTTGGAGAAACTAAATATTTGAGATTCTTAATAAAGCATTGAAGTACCTCATGGTTATTAGCAAGCATATCATATTATGAACCATAATATCTAGATCTTGAAAACAGAATCACCTGCTCAAACATGGGAGACTTCCTTTGAATTTATGGAAGACGCCCTGGAAACTTCCCAAAGTGTTATGTAAATTCATAGACAGCATTGGCTTCTCTGGAGGATCAGAGAGCTTCAGCATCTCTAGAACTTCTAAGGTTAACTCGTTACCTTCAACTGCTTGGTGTGCAGAGGCCTTGTGGAGGGAAGGTAGCTTGAGTCAAGTCACAATGTACCTGCATGGAAGGAGCAAGTCTGGGAACCACTGTGTACACAAATCAAGGAAACAATCAAGGGCAGGTCCAGAGGGGCCTGTGAGGGTTTTCATTTTTGCATATGAATTTCCTTTTCCAAAATATAATTTTAAATACAATTAGAAAAGGCACGCTTGTGTCAGATTAAATACATATTTGTGTAGGGAATATTTAACTGCATCAAGAAAAGAATGAGCACCACACTTAAAGGGGTGGAGATGAAGGGGCACATTTCTTGGAAGTGTCTCTAACTGTGGATTGACATTTCCATTAAGTCAATTCTTTCTCATAACAACCTTGTAGGACAGAGTAGGACTGCCTTTGTAGGCTTCTGAATCTGTAAACCTTCATGGGAGTGGAGAGCATTTTCTTTCTCCTGCAGAACCACCGGCGATTTAGAACGACTGACCTTGAGTTTAGCAGCCCAAGGTGTAATTGAACCCCCATTCTTATCTAGTCTTGGACCCTCTTAGAAGTCATTCAACACCACTTGCAGCTAAATAGTCAGAGATATACAAATAGACCCCTCCCTCTGTTGATAAAAACAATCCCAGTCCCAAATCTGAATCTCTTGGAGAGGTGCCGAGTTCTGGAATTCCCAGGTGCCCCCACTCAGGACTGAACACATCAAGTCACCATGGAGTCTGTATTGAGCTCATTTTCCCTTTTAAAAGTTCTTTGATGGAGATCAAATGTGTATGTATGGGCGTGAGTAAGAGGCAGTGACTATGTTATGATTTTTATGATCAGACATATGTGTGTTTGCAGGTGTCCAGTGAGAGGTGGAGCTATGAAATCTGAGGGAGACTTGAGGGAGCCTGATGCTTCTCTGAGACTCTCCCCAGCACTCTCTGCATTCACTGTCTGTATTTACAATATGCACTGGGTCTGCCTATCTCCAGCGAAGGGTCGGCAGTGGATTGCAGACATTAATACTGTTGATAAGACATCCCACACAGACTCTCCAAGGGCCAATTTGCCATCTCCAGAGACAATGGTAAGAACGTACTATAACTTCACTCTAATGGACAACCTGAAATTCGAGGACACAGCAGCGTAATACTGTGCAAAAGATGCACAGTGAGGGAGGTCAGAGTTAACCCAGACATGACCGCCCTCGAGTGGAAGATGTTATGCTGCAGGGGTTTCTCAGGACCCTCAGAGCACAGGACTCAGACCCAGGAGCAGGTGCAGATGGAGCTTCACCACTGGCTTCCTGTTGTGTCTGGGGATTCTTCTCCATCTCAGTCTCCCTCAGGGAAATGGAGCATCTC